CAAGAGATGAAACTATGTGACGTTATGGATTCCCCCCCCCCCCCCCCCTCCAGTGCAACACAAACTTTACAAATAAAAAAAGAAAATACACACAATCTCTTCGAACAACATTGTCATACATCAAATAATATCAATTACTCGCTTTCCGCGAGCATATGTACTAGTTCGAGATCGAAGTCATCTATTTCAGTTTCATATTCCTTTTTGCTTTTTACAGGATATAATTCCAAATCTAGAGGCTCGGTACTAATACCGTCACCCAAAACCTTTCGTTTACAGTCAGTAAAAATAAGTGAAGCCATTTCTCACTTGTCGATAAGTACATATACTGTTATTTCGAAGCTTGAATCCCATATTTACACCATGCTGCGTTTTCTGAGTTTTTAATACATTTCGAAATGTAGTAAGAGGGGCTTTGAGTCTTCTCTTTGAGATACCTTTACAAGAAAATTTAAGTTGGGTCACCAAACGATGTTTTATGTGGTGTGATTTTCTCAATCTACAATTCTTTGATCTTTTAAGCAAGCGCTGTGCCGTTATTAATGTGTTGGATTGTGTCTTGCGCTTTCGCGCTGAGACGATGTAAGTCCTTGAACACAGTCCAATTATTTCATCACCTTGAAACTCAATTTTGAAGAGACCATGCGTCCGGCGATCGTACTTGGCGTGTTCCTCACAGCAAGTGCGAGGAAACCAGTGTCTATCACAATCAGCCTCGATATCTAGACCGGGAATACAGTAACCTTTTAGACTGTGATCGGAAGTCTGTCGCATATCGGGTTTAATGACAGACTCAAACGTTGAACCCGAAATGGCCATGTAGGCAGAGTCGGTGTCCATCTCGCAGTATTCAAAGCACGGTCAACAAATCTATCCATGAAATCATAATAGAATTGTAACATGTGCAGCTTTGCATACTGCAAGATGAAGTAACCGATTTGAATTGGTAAATTCAATTTTAAGTTGTTCTTATTTTTTTCAATTTCGAAAAGCTCTTCCTCGACGAAAAGTGTAGATAATTTCTTAAAAGTGGGTTCGTTTGCCTCCATCATAGCCTTTCCTTCACCGCGTATGTACTTGACGGTTTGAAATTTTTCTTGATCCATGATCGTGGATCCGAATGCACTATTTCCTTCTAGTTTACGCGTATCCGCGATTATTGATTTCGTCGGGTCTACGTCACCTGGACGCCGAGCATCGCTTACGTCGCGAACAAAATTATTAAAACATTTCTGGGGAGTGTATTCAACGGTCTGGTAGATTTTGGTAATCTCCAGACCGTGCTCTATATACCAGCGCAGTAAAGGCGTAGCAATTAATAACTGACGCGCGCGCATGCCTCCTACCAGAAGGCGGCGAGGTTTCGTGCTCAGATTAAACCGTTTTGCGTGGTTTTGCATGTGCGAGCCTATGACATCGAAAGGAATATCCGTGGTACAAAAGAGAGGACTCATCCCCGAAAAATACTCGAAAGGAGTCATTGTCGGATGATTAAACTGGGCAGGCCAAGTTTCTGGAACCCGAATGTCGCATTCTACCATGCCAAATAACTTGCCGCTCATAACTCCTCTAATGACATCTTCATGTGTCATGGGACCTTGACCTGTAGGTTGCTTTCTCGAGTTTACGAATTTTTTCAATGCAAGATTTGTTCCAATATTGTTGCGGAAAGTACACTCGTGCATTTCAACGACCTTGTAACCTTGTTTTCTGAGGTAACTCGTTGCAAGTTTGGTTTTATTTTGTCTCATTTCCAAGAGTTTGTCGTTTTTGACATGTCGGGTCAACCAACAACGATGCCCGTGCCAGTAACATCCATGAAACTGAAGCACCGTGTTAGTCTCCTCGTCGTATCCGTCCAATGGGAAGCGACCAATTTTTTTTATTTACCTGAATTCAACTTGTGTTTGATGTCTTTATATTTCCCACAGTGGGTCAACCAATCTAACCAATCATATGCAATGGTATATTTATCTCGCTTTCTGAGTTTAAAATTATCATCTAGGTGGCGGCGCACAAAAGCACCGACGGGCATCTCTTTTCCTATGCAGTATAGATATAATGCATTGGCGTCAAAGCCGATAATTCGACCGCATGGCTTTTGCGGATTACCACGAATGAATGACCTTTTTGTTTCGTGGTAGCGTTTGAAAATAATGCTCGGTCCTCCAATAATGTTTTGTTTGATCGTGTCGTACAGATCTTCGTTTTCACGATCGATCAAAGCAAAACTGGCCCCCTCTTTCGTACCACTTTCAAACAACATTCGACGCGCAAGACCCGGTACCGATATACTACATTTAAATATATCAATGCCGCGCTCGAAATAATATGTCTGCAAATTCTTCACCGCTTGTACGAACGGTTCGACGTAAAGATTGTTATACCAGACGAGGAAATCGCGAAACGTTGTCATTTTCTTCTCGTCCCACACTCTTTGGCAGAAGACATATTCTTCGTCGGTAATGTTGGCATTTGTGAGACTTGAATAAAAAGCCTCGTGAGGCGGCAGTCGATCATAATCGAGTTTGTCTACACCGTCAAGAAATTGGTACGGGAAAAAACCCTTGGATTCTTGAACATCGAACGCTTTCAAAAATCCCGAATAATTAATACCAGGACTCAGGTATTGAGAAATATCTAAGAATTTAAATTTACTGGTACCTATGCACGAGTAAGAGTTATTCCGCTTGACGGTGAAAACGGCGTTTTCATCGAGTCGAAGGTGTTTAACTAGGTAACTCTTAACTAAATTAACGTCGTATTTAGCCGAATTGAACCCAATGCAGATTATCTGTTCACAGTAATTTTCGAATTCCTCTTTCAATTTTTTCGATTGCTTTTCTTCTTCATCTATCATCTTCTGAATTTCCCAATCGTCCCCAAGGTACTCAATCAAGTCATCGCCGTTTACACCATCGAGCACGGAACTATCGAGGGCATCAAACACATCTGAAAATTTTTGTTTCGTCAATTCCGCTGCTTTTTGACCAATTAATGACATGTACTCTACCATTTTTCGATAAGGGTATCGATATTTGTCTCAACGATACATCGCGGTTCTGTGTGATCATTAACATTTGAACACACGCTGACGGATATGGGGATGTGTTGCTCTGTGTATTCAAGATTAGCACTGTCTTGACCATTTATAGGTATCAGCATGGATTCAAAGTCGTAGACTCAAACGATCACTGGAATTGACAGTGATACCGTATTGTTCTAACTTATCAAAAATAGTGTTTGGAGGAGAATAAAAACCACCCGGGAATTGTCTCTTTGTTCTCCCTGTGCATGCTCGTTGGTGTCTTTTCATGTTTTTTAAATACCCAAAATGACATGTTTTGCATTGAAATTTTTTGGCGTACGCATCGAATTTTGCAATGTGTGATAAATGATGTTCGAGGAAATTTAAGTACATGTCATTTGAATATTTACAGTGTGATTTGTATACGACACGAGCAGTCTGATCTTCCTCCAAAGAAAACACATTAACGTTAATTTCAAAAAATTTCTCAAAGTAGACTAGTTGATCTAATGTAATACCAGGAAATGTATTTGAGTTTGAATTTATTTCTTTGTTTTGCATTTCGTTAAAGGAGACCCTTTTTTTAAATAGCTCTTGGGTTTGACTCTCCAACAAAGACCAATCTTTATTCTGGTGATATGCTAAACACCGGAAAGCACAAAGGTTGTCTTTATATACACGACCTTTCCAATCCGCTGTCATGGAAATGATGGATTTCGATTGCCTGATGTATTCGGGCACAGTAACTCTACCGTTACCCAAAACGAAATTTAAATGATAGATGACGATGTGGACATTTGTGATCAGAAATGGTTTCCACTTTGCATCGGGACGCTGACGCAAAATATAATCAGTGATGTTTAATTGCTGCATGCGATATTGTAAACGTTTCAAATGAATTCGTCTCGAAACGTAAATGGGTCGTTGAAATACCTCTTGGTTGTGATAAGGCTTAAAGTATCGATATTCACCTGTTTCTGTGTTTTTCAATATTAAACCAAATTCTAAATTTAAACGGAAGGCTTTTTCTTGACGATCATAAATTTCGTTTCCTGCTTGCATAATTTCGGAAACGGTGAAATGATTATCAATAAGAAACTATAAACATTTCCTTCCTGGTGTCTTCTCAAGATAAAAGGAGCATTCGTCTCATATACTTCTTTTAATTATTCATCGATTCTGTCGCCTTCCCCCCATGGCGGAGACCCATTCCCCCAGGGTCTGGGTTGTAACAGACCTGCTCCTATTTGAACATGGTCATTCATCTGATGAACGTACAATGTTCGTCGACAATTAAATCTTTGATGACATGTCCGACACGTATAGCCAAAAGAAGCATCCTAAATGAGAATTAAAAAAGAATTAAACTTCATTAGAAAGATTGTAACAAAATACTAGTATACGATTGACCAATTTCGTAAAATGTCTGTTAGATTTTTGTTTATTTTACCTTCGGTGCGTGGTCTTGTTTTTGTTGTGTTGATGAATTTGATGATCTTTGTTCATTGTTCTAAATAAAAAAAAAATCAAGTTCATGTGATGAACGAATCATGAATACAAATTTTAATAGATTGTTGCCTCACTGCAAATTTATATAGATATAATAGATATAAAAAAAAATACCTCACAGCTGTTGTCTTGTGCTGATGTTGATGGTGTTGATGCATCGTTGTTCTGCTTTAATTAAAAAAGACCAGTTAATAATATATATTAAAAAAACTATGAATTTTTGATATAAAAAGATTCAAGAAAATAAATGTCATAAATTACCACAGATCTGTTGCTTTTGTTTCGTTGCATTGACGTCGTGGATGTTGTTGGAAAATTGTTCTAAATAAATAGAGAGAGAATTAGAAAGAGAGATAAGATCTATCCTTTATTATTATTTTTTATTTTAAACAGCATTTTTTTTTCGTAATTATAAATCATTATAAAGTTTTGAATGCTGATCACTAAAAAAGACAAACTCGGGATATTAATTAAGATGTCTGGGTCATTCTACTAATCGATATTTTAAGTGTTCGTTTCCCGTGTTGAAGGGAAGTAACTTGAATAATCTTTAAAAAATCCCGGATGATGATGTGTAAAGAAGGAATATAGACGTACACGTGTACTGCTTTTCCAGACGGATTAATTACACATACTGTATTTGTTTTATATGTAAAGAGTAAAAAGGGATTTTTTTTTGGTCTATTAAAGCATATAAATAAGCCTGCGCTCAATGTATTTTTTCACTTCCTAACTTGTACCTATAGTATATTCATCAATATCGAGAGAAAAAAAAAATAAAATGGCTGGAAGAAAAGGTGGAAGTGTAAGTATTGTATTTAAACAAATTTTATAAATTGCGTAGAAAGATTTTTTTTAATTTTCAAAGATTATTTTCATCTTCCTGCGATATCTTATATCAAATGAAGCGAAAAACTATCTTTTAGAAGAATTCTTTACAGCAGATGTAATGCAAAAAAAAAAAAAAAAAAAAAAAAAAAAAAAAAAAAAGGTTAAGTTTTTCTGAGTCATGAAAGCTAAAAAAAAATAGATGCTAAGGGACAATAACTCATTCTCATGTACATGTATCCTCATTCAGACCAATGATGTGTGGTTAAATTCCCGGGTCATTGTAATTGACTCAACCCCTAGAGGGCCTAAATTTCGTCAGGTATGTTTTTATCATTTTGATTTTTCTAATTTTCTATATTTTTAAATTGTAAATATATTTCGTGCTTCTACGATCAACAAAGAAATGTAATATATAAACTATCGATTAAACAACGAATGTTAATGAATGACAAACACATTCATGAAAATTAACTTAATAAAAATGTAAATATGTATTTTTTTTTTTTTTTTTTTGTAGGTGAGGAGACGAATTAACTTCTCCTCGGAGGCTGGGGATGGTGCATGCGCGACCCCAACACCTGCAGCGTCCCCCAAAAGTCCTGCAGATACGGTACATATATCTTATATTTTCATTAACAACTTTTTTTCAAAATGTGGTACTATACCTTGCATGTCTGCTGGTGTCTTTGATACTTTCTCTCGTCCGAGAATTTAGTGCAGCAGTTATCACACTTAAATAATTTATCCTTATGCTCCTTGTGGACATGTAATGTGCGATGCGATGAAAACTTAAAAGTATAGTCGCAGTAAAAGCATTTAAATTCTGCTTTGCACACTCTAACATGTCGATCATAATTGTCTTTGCGATTTAGTACCTTTTCACAAATATCGCAACGAAAACTATTTGTTTTTTCGTGTACATTTTTATAATGTCGCTTGAAAGAAGAGCTGTTACAAAACGACTTGTTACATATAGCACAAAATGTCTGCATAATTCACAGTCGTTCTTTCAAATGACGTTGAACACCTAATCACACTATGAGTACATTTTCCTCTATAGTACATCATTAGTCATACACATTCATTACATTATTTTACATGTAATCTTTGTCCGGGTTATGACTGAATTCGTCATGTTATCCGAAAGTAAACAATGACGGATCCAGGGTTGGCGCCCCGTTTGAATTTTGTGTATATAAAATTTATATATGTTCATTATTAAAAAAAAAAACAACAAACAAACAAACAAGGAAAAAACATTTCTTATTTGTAAAAATGTGTAAGCTTCCGAGGGATTCGTCCCGGATCCTCATTTCATTTCCCCTGGATATTAGATATTTACCATAACATGACACTTAAATTATAACATGAATTGAAAAAAAAAAATTCTATTAATATTATAATTATTAATATTTTATATTTTTTGGTTAACTCTCAAATTTATCATTTCAGACCATGGAGCAGGAAACGGACGTTGAGCGACGCTTGGCGTCGCTCGAAGAAAAAATGGCGTCCCTGGAGAGGGAGCTAAAAGGAAGAAGGGTGCTGCGCAAGAAGTGCAGCACATGTAATTACAGACACATTCGACTATAGTAGCCACACCAGTTCGGCGCTTACAACGAGTGACGAGATATGGGTACTAACCATGCAAACTAGAGAGACACAAAGACACTGTATCTAGTTATTACTTTAAACGAGATAAAGTGTACATATTTTCATGTGGATTGTTTTTTTTAAATTTTCTTGAAATATGAATAGATAAAGTGAGCTTCTTATTGTGCACCGACGGGAATTTCGACAAAAAAAATGTTTTTGTATTATAATGATTAAAAAAAAATAAAGTGATGTATACTTGAATAAAATCGTTTGTTTCTTTCAATTTGATTAAATGCATTGAAGAGAAATAGAAATAAAATGATAGTTTAGTTTGGTAATTAATGAATGAGATTTAAACCAAATAAGGTGAGATATGAGTAGTAAGGGGTATAGTCTGGGGTCTATATGGGATCACTGACGTCATGGGTCCGTCTGGGGTCACCCATCCCATGAAAGCCGTCTGAGGTCGATGACGTCACGACCCATCCCATAAAACCGTCTGGGGTCACCCATCTGATAAAACCGTTTGGGGTCACCCATCCCATAAAGCCGTTTGAGGTCACCCATCCCATCAAACAGCCGTCTGGGGTCACACAATAATAAGGTCATATACCATTAAGTCCGTCTGAAGTCACTTTAATAAATTGTAACATCAATAAGGGGTCACCTGGAGTCATCAACCACTCCCAAAGCCGTTTATAAGGAGAAGAGACTAAAATTTATCATCATTCTTCATAAAACAAGAAAATGGATGACTATGGGAGCAGTGAGGATATTCTATGCAATTATGAGATAAACTTTAGACACTTTTTAAAGGACGGAGCGATTGTCAAAAAACGCATTGATAGGTATATAGCAGAAAATGGAGATTGCCGGTCCTGTGACTTTTGTAAAAAGCAGTATTCTCTGAGAACGAAATTTGTACATGAGAACCATTGTCTGGTGAAACTGGCCAAGGAATCAAAAATCGATCCGCTGAAGATGGCAACTTTTTGCTTGCGAGCATGTGATATTGAAGACGAGTCTTTGGAGGAACCAATGGAGTTCTCAGAAGTCCTGGAAACAATCATGGCCGACCGTGTACCGTACAATATCATGAAAGAGGCTTTTACGATTCTCTTTATGAAAGTTACTACAACGGTACGATGCTTTTCTTATGGCCTGATGGAATGTGGCGACACGAAGAGTATTTGGGGTGATTGAACGCCCATTGAACAACAAATTAGTGCATAGACTTAGGCATCTCGTCATATTCATAATTAGTTTGTATAAATAAATTGAAAGAAGTGTGAATATCAACATTTCTAATCTCTGAGCGTGTGTGAACAGACACTCCTTTGGTGAAACAAAATGAAATCAATGCCAAAAAAAATTCAATTTAGTGATTATGTACATATAATTGCGATTCCTTATGAAGAACGGAAAGGAATATGGATGCAATATGCGGTTGACAGGGCTCATTTTAAAAGAAGAATTGATCAAGTCGAGATATTGTTGTCACCTATCCTACTTCAAAAACTAAATAACATCAAAATGTCTGAGGTCAACTGTAATTAATGTTTAAAAAAAAAAAGGGGGAGTGACGCAGACCGTCGTGTATATAAACGGAGGTGTTTTTTAGTACCACATCATACCTTTTTCCGAAAATGGAAAGTCTGGCAATGGAAAGACAATTGAGAAGAACAAAACTACAATGGAACAGAATGTGTAAAAAGATTTTTAATGTTTTAACCAATCGAAAAGAAGAAGAGTTGCTTATGCACATTACACGTCTGATGAAATGTGTCAGAAGTGCACTTGCTCTTAAAACACAAGTCAGAATTATGAAAAGAGATAATATGAAAGGGGGTGCTTCAGACTGGAGAATTCTTAAAGATCTCGTGGACGAATTTAGGAAACTGTCAGAAAAAATGGATTACAGTCTACACTGTCTTGTTCATAGAAAAGAAAAAGTACGTCACGGAATTCAGCTTTATGTGTTGAGAGAAATGGCGGATGCTGTGGAAGACATTATGAATATAATATCAGAAACTCTTCACTACATTAAAAAATTGTGAATAAATTTAATACTATCAAAATGTCTACGGTCATTTCAATCTACAGTCAGGATTTACTATTTTCTCCGGGGAAAATTTTTACAGTCAATTACGTCTGAGGTCAATCCCGTCTACAGTCAATTACGTCTGAGGTCAATCCCGTCTACAGTCAAATACGTCTGAGGTCAATACCGTCTGCAGTCAAAAATTGTCTACAGTCACTTAAAGAACAAAACACTCCTATTTGTGAATCAATCAACCACGTGACAATAATGTTATAAAACGGGTTTATTGTAAAAAATTCCAACATATCTGAATTGATCGTAGAAGAAGCATCACCCTCTCTCTTGAGCAAAGATGGAACAGAAACATCAGGATATTATCAAAGCAAACTACACAACTTTGGTGAAAAAAATGCTGACCTCTTCCGTTGCCGGGCATCTTTTTGCCTCTAACATTATAACGGACGAGATGAGACAGCAGATTGAAGCCGAAAAGACCAGTTATGATCGCAACAGAAAGCTAATCAGTATCATTCTACGCAGAGGCCCAAAGGGTTTTACGGGTCTTCGAATGGCACTTATGAAAGCTAACCAAACAGACTTATCCAAGCTTCTCTCAGCCGGCGATGATAACATGTCTGAGTACGAAAAGAAGTTAGCCATGGCCAGGACGCTGGTTGTAAGCATGCCAGGAAAACGAATTATTAAGACTGAGCCGAAAAGTAACCCCTCAGAGCAACAAAACTCACAAGAAGAAAGGTGTAGAATCAGTCTGGATGACTTCAACGATCTTTTCCTTACAGCCGTGCCATTCAAAGGGGATATCAATATTCACATCCGGCACTTTACAGAATCTAACGGCCGTTATTTTGCAACAAAGAAAGGGGTGACATTCCCATTGTGCAGATGGCTGAAATTTGAGGCTCTTCTACCAGAAATTGCCAACTATCTGCAAAACAATGGAGCAGAGGAAGAGATGAAATGGCATATTGGAGGGGGTGTTTTCGTCTCTGTTAACCCTGGGTATACCTCAGTAGACATTAGACACTTTTGGAAGCCAGATGATGCCCTAGAACCTGTACCAACCAGAAAAGGTGTGTCTTTGAACAAATACAAATTGACCAAATTACTACAAGCCGTTGAAGAAGTACGAGAATATGTTCCGGAATTAAATGATACAGAACTGTGTGCGTTCAGTGAGTCCCATTTAAATCAGCTTGGAATGTTAAGTTGTCTAGAGTGTACTCCTTTTGGATATGATCCGAAAGAAGACGTGTCCATGGAATGTAATGTCGGTGACTTACAGACAATCGAAAGCGATTCTGAATAAAAGTGATATGGAATAGAAAAAAAGGACTCTTAAATTATTTTGCTATAAGAAATTGATGTAGAGACGTTTATGTATTATTGTTTATGTATATGCATTAAACTTTTTTTTTAATTTATAATAAATTATACATCTGAAAAAATTCTTGTGTTTGATTTGGTATATAATACAAATCTGAAAAGAATTATTAATCAGTTTTGTACAGGATGGCAAAGTACACAGACTATTTGAGAAAGCTATACTATACTCCTGGAAATCCAGGGGCATTTGCAGGTCCTGAGAAACTTTATCAGGCGGTAAAAAGAGAAGGAAAGCATAAAATTGGAAGAATGAGAATTAGACAATTTTTGAATAACGAGGATTCCTACAGTTTGTTAAAACCCATCCGGCGGTCATTTCCGCGTTCTAAGGTTATAGTGAACACTATTGACTCTATGTGGGACGGAGATTTAGCCGATGTCAGCAACATTTCTTCCGAGAACGATGGTTATAAATTTTTGTTAGTGTTGATAGATATATTCAGCCGCTTTTTATATATAGTACCTCTGAAAAATAAGCAGCATCAAAACGTCACAGAAGGTTTAAAATCAGTTTTTCAAACAGGACGAAAACCTCAAACGCTCAGAACAGATAAAGGGAGCGAATTTAAAAATCGCTGGGTGAAAGCGTTTTTAAAAAAGGAGGATGTCCATGTCATATACACCCAGAATGAAACTAAAGCAAACTATGCTGAAAGAGTTATTCGTACCATGAAAAATCTTATGTATCGTTATTTTCTGAAAAATAGAACATACCGTTATGTTGATGCTTTACAAGATTTAGTGACTAGTTATAACCAGAGACCTCACAGATCTCTTGGAGAACAAGCACCTGTTACTGTCACCAAGGAAAATGCTTATGAGGTGAGACTCATTTCCTATCTCAGTACCAAGAAAAAGAATCCTGTGAGGAAAAACAAGTTGGAAAAAACAATCAAATCGTTTAGTAAAAAGAAAAGGACTAAACCAATTTTTAAGTATAAAATAGGTGATGACGTACGCATTTCACAGCTCAAACATCCATTTCAAAGAGACTACCAGCAAAAATGGACTGAAGAATATTTTAAAGTGTCTAATCGCTACAAAAGAGCTGGTATACCTGTGTACAAAATAAAGGATTTAGCCGATGATCCAATAGAAGGCACTTTTTATGAATCGGAACTTCAAAAAGTCATGAAGTTGGGAGATATTCTGTATAGAGTGGAAAAGGTGTTGAAAAAGAGAAAACGCGGGAATAAAAAGGAAGTGTACGTAAAATGGGACGGATGGCCTAGTAAATTCAATTCGTGGATTCTAGAAAGTTCTTTAGAAAACACTAAATAAATACAGTTTTTTAAACAAATCATCATCAGTCAAGATGAGCCTTCGAATGGTGTTGAGGTCTACAGACAGCTCCGAATATTTTGACAATAAACCCAATTGTTTTCGAGTTCACTTGAATAAACAAATTCAATTGGATGGATACTGGACAGTTGCTTTAACAGAATTTACTACAGAGAGTTGGGATGCAGCCAAGAAAACCCCTGAGGTGTACATATGCTGTGACATATGCGAGGAAACCATTGTTGGTGGCAAGGACGTACCCCTCTTACGA